ATTTTCATTTAGGCCAATTTTCATAAGGAAACTATTTTTCTTATCGGCAGTTTTTTTTTGGTTCTTTCTTGTTTTACCTTTGAAGGTTTTTCTTTTTTTTTGGAAAGTGCTGATGAATTTCAGAAGATTTGCTTAGCCGGCAATTTATGGCCATTTTTTGGAGCATCTTTAGCTTTAGCTCTGGTTTGGTATATTTTATGGACAGTTCACGAGCGGTGCTAGTTTTTAATTAAAGCGAAAGTGTCGACTTGGCCAACGGAGGAGAGTATCAGGACTAGCATTTTTTGCAAATTGTTGCAGTTTATTTTATTTGGTTTTCCGGACGAGTGGCTGATCGATAAACTTGCCAATTTTCCTGGTTAGCCTGCTAACTGGAAAACTTTCGTGGCCAACTGAAGTAAAGGCTAGGAAAGTTTGATAACCAACCAAGGCAGTTGGTATTAATCAAGTTATCTCTATATAGTTTCTAGGCTTACTCTTAGCCCATTCCATCACTTTAACAATTTGCTTAAATTTGCAATTTTTAAGGCGTTTCTCCTGCCCTGCAGACCAAAAATTAAATCCAGCAATTTGTCAAACAAGCTGCCCACGCAGACAAACAAACAAAAAGAATTTGTAAATCTCCCAAATTAGAAACTTGTCATTCCAATTAGCTTCAAAAAAATATATAAATGCCAGCGGTATTCCCAGACCCAAGATCCAAGACCCGAGAACAGGTTTAATCTGGACCGAAAGGGCGGGCAAGCCAAGGGATTGCCTTTAAGGGTTTAAAGGGTTGGAGGGCCACGACGACGGCGACATTGTGGCCAAAAGGATCTGGCCAAAAAGGAAAGAAAATGGTTGGCACATAAAACAAAATGAAACAAAAGCCAAAACGACATTAAATACAATAAAAAAAAGACACAAGACTGTGCAAAAAAAAATATTAAGAATCCAGAATGGAGAGAAAGAAAAAGCAATTAATAATAATTAATGTTTTTATCTTTTTGTTTCGGCCTTTATAGAGAGAATTTATATATATATATTATTGTGACTCGCCCGGTCCCTGAATAATATTTCTCTCGCAGAGAAACAAACAGGAAACCATACAAACCAACCGACCAGAGTCCAGTATCCCAGAATCCCAGAATCCAGTTCCCAACTTTAACCGATTTTCTGTCTTTTGCTGGGATGCTGGATGTTGGATACTGGATGCCCTGTGTGTGTGTTTTTTATTACTTTCCAGCAACCAACCAGCAGACCGGCGAGTTGACTTAATTGATAATTGGAATTTCTTCCCTGCAATGTATTTAAATTTTTCAACATAATTTCATTTCATTTGTTTCATTTCATTGCTGTTTCTGTTGCTGTTACTGACTTTAACCCAAAAAGGCCGCAAAACTTTCCTCGCAGCCGCATTGAGCTGAAATAATTGTTCAAAAGAATCTGCAAGCCGGACAGTAAAAAAAAAGATACAAACAACAATAAAAAAAACCGCAGAAACTGCAAAAAAAAAAAAAGGCCAACCAGTAAGAGAAATAAATACACTTTTTGGGTCTCTGCTGCGAAAGTGTTGGGAAGAGGCGTTCTAGCGTTTAAAAAATTTTGCGGCCGTCGCCAAATCGACAGGCAGCCAAAAGCCGAAATGTATCTTAAAGTTTGCCACTGCCTATAGTGATGGTGTTGATGTTGATGGTTTGGCTGGGTCGGGTCGGGCCTGGCCTGGTCTGGCTTTGGCTGGCGGCAGTTTTTGTTTTCTTTCTGCCGAATACCATTCGGGTAGCTTCTGAGCTAATGTATCTGTATCTGTGCAGCTGTGTTTGTGTATCTTACGGGTGTGTAGCCCGCCGCAGCTTCTCAGCTACAGATTCAGTCTCAGCATTTTTTTGTTTTCGGCATTCGGTGGCCTCTGGCAGGTTCAGTTCGTTTGTTATTGCTTTTGTACAACATTTAAATGTTTAGCTGCCGTTTGAGCTGCACACTTGAGTGGGTATAGTAGAGTTGATTCAGGAGGGGGAGGTATAATGGACACAGGCATAGTTTATTATGTGATTAATTAAGTAAATACTAAGCGAGGGAGCTTATTAGATTAGTCATCTTTAAGAATTCTACTTCAAATACTTTCATAATCTTTGTTAAATGTAGAAATATCTATAGAAATCTTCCCTTCAATGGGTATTTCAAAATCGTATCCCCTTCCTATACCGTTTTTATATCCACATCCACTCACGCTTTCTTGTCCGATGTGAGGCCTCTTCCTTGGGTCTTGTAGGCGTGAGTTTTATTTCAGCTCACTTAATGCGAATTAAGCTAATTTAAAAGCGATTCCAAATTAACTTTAATGTGTATGCAAACCAACACGAACCGAGTACCCAAACCCAAACCCGAAACTCAACTCAAGCTCTCATTTCTAACACTTTTGCTCCCTTCATTATGGTTTCTGGGCTTGGGGATTGGGATTGGGATTGGTCTTTGGATACGAGTTTAGATTTTTCGTGCGGCTTCGATGTGTGGGCGTCTTGAAGTGGCTTCTGTTGCCCGCTTTCCCACTAGATCGAGCCCCCATGTTGTATCTATTGAAATTGCGGTGCTTGTTGTTGTTGCAAGTTGTTGTTGTTGTTGCTACTTTGACCCAATTGACGTAGTCAACGTCGTCGTCATCGCTTCGCTTGTTAGAGAAGCTCTTAAAATAAAATTGAAAAGAACCAAAAACTAGAGAAAGAAGTGCAGGTCTATAGTAAAATGCACATTGGATGAAGATGGTAGGTTCCACCACATGTCTATATACATACATATACACACAGTTACTCATAGTGTATGGGTGTGTGTGTGTGTCTAAATTGTAGGTAGCAAGCATGTATCTTAATGAAGGCAATTTGCTTGTCGAGTTTAGGCAAGTTAGTTTACCGAAAATTGGCATATGGCCAGTAGCAACAAAAGCACTGCACTCACCCAGCCACCCAAAACAGGCCCTCCTTTATATAGAGCCTTGCCTACATATATGTATCCCAATATTGGCTACAGTTTAAACTGCCTAACAACAACTTTGAAATATTTTAATTTCTTTAAAAAATATTAAAATTAAATTTTTAACTTGATTTTTTAATAATGAAAATTGCTTAAAAATTTTAAGGAATATTTAATCAAAACTAGGAATAGCTTTGCTTCAAGAATTTCGACTGTGGCGGAGGTCGCACATGTCGATAAACCAACTTACACACATCGATGGCGATAGAGGATAAAAGGGCCAACAGGATGGGGGCCACAAGGACGAGCAAGACGAGCAGCGACTAGCAGGAGGCATGCACTCTGGGGGGCAATGCGAATTTCGGGCCTGGCTGGGCTCATCCAGGCAACTGGACCACACTCCCTACTGCCTGTGCCCCCCATACACGTAGCAAAAGAAGAGTTATGCAAGCTGCATTTCGACACACACACACTGAAGTATAGTATCTGTGGGTATGGAATGCTGATGTAGAGCCCAAACAAAGCCCAAGAAGCGATGGATTAGAAATGATTTAGGGGCCAGTTGGAAATCAAAGCTAGGGGTTTGTGAATTCCCCATGAATTAATATTCACATAAGGAATATATCTAGAAAACCTATTAAATTTTATCATTACTTTCTTTCGGGACTTTCTCCCTTCATCTCTTAAGTTTAATAAGTAAATTCAAACAATTTAATTAACTTCTCTCCCCAAACTTTCCCTTCCAAAAACTTTGGCACATTTATCATCCCCACTAGGTATTACCAAAAATTCTTGGCCCCGGCCATCAATCAACAAAGTGGATGCCATTTTTTTCGGTGTACTATTTTTGGGGTCTGCCTTTTGGCCGCATGCCCGAAAACGAATTTTGCCTAAATTGCGAAAATTTAATAATCTAATAAGGCAAATTTTAACAAACTATTTAATGGCCAAACTGAAGCCAGAGTCTTGGCTTCCAACGAGGAGGTTAAGGAGGGTCTAGCAATGGCCTTAGGCGGAGCGTTTAGTTTAAGTTAAGCGGAGACAGCAGCAGCCGCGTTTAATGTCTGTGAAATTGAAAAATTTACTCTTTAATATGCGAACGGGTTGGTTGGTGTAGGAACCTCTCGACTTGTGTGCCTGCCTGCCGGAAAGACTCAGATACGGATGCCCAATGCCCGATGGCCGATGGTCAAGTCAAATGGTGTGGAAGCTGCTGTTGCTGCTGCTGCCTGGCTGCCATTTCTGCTGCCATTCTAGCTTGAAGTGCAGTTAGAGCAATTTCACAACTCACTAACAATCATTAATGCGTCGCCGACATAGCTGGTTGGCCCACCCCTTCATTCCACATCGAAGGAAGTCGACGAACAGACGGCAGCCTCTAATAAGCAGCCTCTCTCGGCGAACTTAACTCATAAACAGGCTTGGCTTGGCTGGCTGGCCTGGCTTGGCTTGGCTTGGCTTGGCTGCTTTATGAAATGGAAAATGTTCAGCAAATGAAAGAAAATTCAGCCACTGCCACTGCCACAGAAAATAAAATTATTCCAAGAGAGGCACAATCGGATGGAATGAATGCCTTGGCTGGCCGTCTCGTTTGGGTTGTGATTTCGAGAGCTTGAGGCCTGCGGCTCATTTTGAAGTTCATGTCGAAGCGTTTGCTAAATCGACACGCATCCGATAGATATGAGGGGAAAGCCGTAAAAAGAGCCCGGCTTTCGCAAACAGCGAGGTGTGCTTGAAAGATTCCCAACTCTACAAGTATATAGTATCTACAAGTATCTATTTTACTGACAGCCCACGTACATAATCATGTTGGCGCAGCTCTAATGACGGCCTGTTGCTGTTTTTAGCTTCGGGAGTTGTGTGCCTCTATGGCCGAAAAGATCGTAAATGTGTGCCAAATTATAAGTCATATGAAACAATGACTGCTACTTAGTTATGACCATAAAAATGGGGGCTAGCCCCATCCGCGACTGCTGTCGTCGTCATTTTGCCGCATAATTTTTACAACCATACCCATCCCCACCGCCCTGTTTCAACATTTTGCAACCCTCCAGATGTCAATGTTAACTTTTATAGTCTCTCGCTGGGTCGTTGCTAAAATATTCTAATTGTTTTCAACAATTTTTGAATGCGTCGCCGTGTACGCGCGGCAATGTCATAAATCTTTTTTTTTTTTGGCCATACTGCATACTCATGGCTCAAAGGATGAGCCAGCCAGCCAGACAGCCAGCAACAGAAATGGCCAAGACAAATTTGCTTTAAAGCTCGCCAATAAAAGTTAACAGCGTCGTCTGCGTATCCGCTATCCTCTAAACTCTCCATCGTTATATGGTCATGTGCTTTTTGTATCTTTTGCATAATCTAGCCAAAAAGAACGCATTTGAGACTGGTTTTTATGGTTAGCCGGTTAGCTGGTCTAGGAGCGGGAAAGATTGAGTGGAATGCACGGGGATTGTAATTAAAATTGGTTGCTTCACAAGAAGCTCATTTGGATTCCTGAGCATGTTTTCTTTTTATGATATTTATACTATATATCTATTTTCGTTAGATAGTTAGTTAGAGCCATAAAGACTCTCTAATTCCAGAGTCATTTGGGTGGATATTTTATTGCAAAAGGATTTTAGCAGATATCGTAAATTGTATGTATAATGTGTGGGTATGTTGTGGTCATTAGGAGCAGTCTCTAACTAAAATAAAGATATTTCACAACCACCTTTAATATTTCATAAGTTTCTCACGCATCTGAAAAGAAAACAAGCTAGTCAGATTACTTGAATATTTCATAAATTTCTGGCTCGCATCCGCAGATACATTTTCACATGCTTAGCCCAGTTAAGCGTAGCATTCGTTAGATACACCCGAAAATAGCCGCACAGCCACTTTGAGATACTTTCGCCCATAACTTAGGGCCACTTGGCTGGTAGTTGGTAGTCTGTAGTCCGGAGTTCATTGCCAATTCGCATGCAACTTGCAGATACTTCGCATTCATGTCTCAGCTACTTTATATCATTTTAATAATGTATCTAGCTAGCTGGCTGTCTGCCTGGCAAGCACTAGGTAGTAGTGTCTGTATCTGCGGGCAGCCAGACAACAACGTGGGGAAAACGGCGAAAAACGAAAAGTTCAAAGTAGTTTGCACTCAATTTCAATATTTTACAGGCCAACAAACAAAACGAGCGGAAAAGAGACTCCAGCTGGCAAGACAGCGAACATCGAACACAATATATCTCATAGATACATATGTTTTATATATTGCTTATTATGTATTGCTGTTGTTGTTGTTGCCTGGTCTGGGCTTGTAGCTCCCCCGAGGAGCTAAAGTAGGTGCTTCCATCTCGCTCTGCGGCATGGTAACTAATATGAATAACTAATAAATCACATACGGACGGTGATTTATGTGACAGGTGCGTATTGCGATTTGAAATTGGCAACAGTTTCCATTTCGTATCCACAAATTGGCCAAAAAAAAAAAAAAACCAAAGTATAGCAGCTTAGCACGTGAGCTTGCCACATTGTCATGCAAAATAATATCGAATATGGGAATCCAAATCCCGAAAGAACACAAGAATACAATCCCCAATGTTGGCGTTAATTTTCGTCCTAAGAGTTGTCAAATTAGTTCAAGGGAAAAAGGTTAAAGGTTCCTTCTGGGCCTTGAGCCTAGTGGCTGGGCCCTCGACCCTCAATTACGCATTTCTTTGGAAAACTTTGTTAATTTGTGTGTCCGACAGACTACAACAATGAACAAGGGTTAATGGATATGGATCGTGGATCGGGATGGGGGATGGTGGTGCATTATTAGTCCTCGAGTTGTGGAGACACACACACGCATCGAACTGAAAGGTAAAAAGCCGGACTTTATCGGCTGCCATCTCAGCTAGCCGACCTGGGCTCCTCATTATGTAACCTCTCATAATTCTTTCATTAATGAAATTCCCACACGACGTTTCCACCACCATCATCATTATCATCATCATCATCTGCATTATGTAAATCTTCCATCAACAACACAGCTCTCAGCACGGAGTCGGTTTCATTTAGAAAGAAAGAGAGAAGTCCTCCTGCTCCTTTCATCCTTGTCAACTAATTTCAGGGTTGTATGGCTATGGCTATGGGCTGCCTGCCTGTCATGTTTTTTAAGACTGTTTTAATTTTCATCCTTTGGCTCAGAACCCACCAGAGAAACTGGTAACAGAGCTCAGTGGCAGTTGGCTTTTACTTTCCTTTCGGCTCGGCCTTTAAAAATGTTGGCCAAAAACACCAAATAAGAGGAAACTACCTGTTCACAAAACCCACACACACCGCAGAGGTAGCAATAACAAAAGTCACTAAAAAAAAGGAGAAATACAACAAAGAATGAGGCAGCTTCAGCGGCAAACATATCCCCAAACGAACAACGAACGTCAAGCGAACTGTCGAGCAAGGAAACAACGCCCCATAGGCACAGTGGTATAAGGCATGGGGTTTTTTGATATTAAAAATAATTAGAAATAATTGAAATTAATGAAAGTTGACTAGAAATTTTTTTTAAAACATTAAAACTTTTTTTTTCCGAATGTAATGGGGTTTCTAGGGTTTAGTTTGTTTGAAAAAATGCTAAATTGTTTGTTCTGTAAGTTAAAAGTCTAAAAATTAAAAGATATTCTGAAGATTTAGGAAGAAAAATGTGAAATAAAAGCCTCTAGGAAGTTAGCTAGATAATGTTTGTTCTTTAACTTAAAAATCGAAAAAGTTTTTTTGAAGAATTAAGAATATTAAATAATAAACATTTCCTTAAAAAATTTATATTAATTCTATTCTATTGAGTTTGAAAAATTTTAAATTTGAGTTATATTAGAATTTATACCATCAATAAGTTTATGATGATTTTTATTAAGTTCTGCTAATATAGCAGCTCCTCCTACTTTAAATTTATTAGGTGAAATTTCTTTATTAAATAGAATTGTTTCTTGATCTTGAGTTTCTATAATTATATTATCTTTATTATCATTTTTTAGAGCTGCATACACTTTATCACATGTGGGTTTTGTTTTTATACCCTTGCAGAGGGTATTATAATTTTGGTCAAAAGTGTGCAACGCAGTGAAGGAGACATCTCCGACCCTATAAAGTATATATATTCTTGATCAGGATCACCTCCTGAGTTGATATAAGCATGTCCGTCTGTCCGTCTGTCTGTCCGTCTGTCTGTTTCTACGCAAACTAGTCTCTCAGTTTTAAAGCTATCGACTTGAAACTTTGCACACACCCTTCTTTCCTTTGCACGCAGTATATAAGTCGGAACGGCCCGGATCGGCCGACTATATCATATAGCTGCCATATAACTGATTGATCGGAAATGGTATAACTTTGGTGTTTTTAGAGTTAGAGAGTTCAAATTTGACATGAGAGCTATTTTTGAGAGCAAAATAATACGACATGCCAAATTTCGTAAGGATCGGCCGACTATATCCTATAGCTGCCATATAACTGAACGATCGGAAATGACCCAACTTTCGTGTTTTTGAAGATAGAAAGCTGGAACTTGGTACAGATTATATATTTGGTCAGTTGATCCACCTACCAAATTTCATTAGGATCGGTCGACTATATCCTATAGCTGCCATATAACTGAACGATCGGAAATGGTATTTGATAGAAATATCAACTTTCGTATTTTTGAAGATAGAAGTTTGGGACTTTTTTTAGATTTTGTATTGTAATAAATTGGATTATATATTCCTATTCCCATAAGGATCGGCCAACTATATCCGATGTTTGCGATATATATCCGGTTTTAACTGCAAGGGTATATAAACTTCGGCTCCGCCCGAAGTTAGCATTCCTTTCTTGTTTTGTCTGCTTTTGTTGGCTGCCCTGGCGCTGAGCTTAAAAAGGCCCCAAGTCAACAGAAACAAACAAAAAGGTAAAAAACAGACCGAATACAGTCGATATTGTATAAATGCCACAATATTTTGTCACATTCTAATAAGACTTGCAGGTTATAGCCAAGATAGAAGGGGTTGCTCTAAAGTTTAGTTTAGGCAAGACCCTCTGTACTTGGAGGTAAGCTAGCTCAGGAGGCTAAAAGGATTGGCCAGGCCCAAATAAAATTCGACAATAAATATCAGCAACTAGGGCGAGTGCCAAAACATATATAAACATAACAATATGTATTGTTTATAGTTATAAACAGATATATAAAATAACGAAAAGAAGACCTGTTCCTGTTGCAAACTCCAATAAAGCTTAAAGTTTTAATCCTCAATGATGGATTAATACATATATATAAAGCATATTAATAATAGTACTAGTCTTTAAACTTTTACAGCAACTATCTCTCTATGGCTATACCTTATTCTGAAACCAAATCAAAGACAGCAATTATGCTGTATAGTTGCTGGAGCACTCTTTTTACAATTCTGGGCCAGGCAGGCAGGCACTTCATTTGCTCCGCTCCGGCTACGGCTCCGCTATAGAGTTCTCCAGAGATACAGATACCCAGATACAGATACTTTGGTCTCGTTCGGTTGTCTTCTGGCTGCATTTATGGTTGCATTTACTTTTTAATTTCATTTCATGCTCTCTTGTTGTTGTTGCACTCCTTTTTCGAATTCAAGTGGAGTCAATTTCTTATGTCATGACAAGACACATACTTCAATACAACCAGACAACAGAAACAGCAACTGCTATGTGGATGTGGATGTGGATACGGATGTGGAGTACATCTGAAGCTCAAGTCAATGGTCCAGAGTCAAAACAGAAATTACAAAAAAAAAAAAAAAATGAGAAAAAATACCAGACAGCAGCAGGAGCATTTTGTGTTGTCTTGGGATCCCTTTTGGAAGATGTTGTCGCCAGTCGAGGAGGCAGACTCTACCTTTCGGTAGAGAATTTTCGGTTTGCTGCGCATGTATAAGGGCTTAAATATCTTTACTTATTTTTGGACATACTTGATTGAAGTATTTATGAGATTTCAGGCATTCGTGTAATTTTCTTTTGAGCTTTAAGTTACGGCTCGCTATGGTTCGACATCATCAAATGTACAACATTTTCAGCTTCCGAACAAAAACAAAA